CATCTCCAATTCCTCTCTGTTGCAGCCCCCTACATTTTAACCGTGCTGGCTTTCTGTACCTCAGCAAGATGGTCCCTATCTTTTGTACCTTTTGTTTTCAGCTTGGGAAACCATTCCCAGATCTTCCCAAAACTGGTGCCTTCAAATATCATCTCAGGGACCACTCATCTGACTGCTTCCTCTGCCCCACCCACTCTATTTTTATTGTCAACTATTTTATTCTTCTCAAAGTATTTATCATATGCTGGGCTATTTGTTTACCTGCTTATTTCCTCTCTCCCCATTCCAGAACTCTGAGAGCAAGGACTTTAGGCACAGTTTCATCTCTTGCATGTTGAACACTACCTGGCAATAGTAAGCTATTACTAAAAATTTCAGCAGTCGTGGCTGGCCCCGTGGCAGTGGGTAAGTGCGCACGCTCTGCTGCGGGCGGCCTGGATTTGGATCCCAGGAGCGCACCAATGCACCACTTTATCAGGCCATGCTGTGGCGGCGTCCTGTATAAAGTGGTGGAAGATGGGCACAGATGTTAGCCCAGGGCCAGTCTTCCTCAGCAAAAAGAGGAGGATTGGCGTGGATGTTAGCTCAGAGCTGATCTTCCTCAAAAAAAAAAAAAAAAAATTTCGCCAGAGAATGCGTGCTTATATGGGTGGGTCTTGGGAGATTTGAGCAGATTTATGCATTCTCTCATAAAGTCTTCATTATAACCATGGACTAACTATGCTTGCTAAAAGCCACACAAATTAACTTTTAAAAGTTTTGTATTTTTTCTCTTCAGCCTTTTATTATATTTCAAATCATTCTGTGTTCTTTAAATTTATTTAAATAATCATAAATGCAATGTAATCTTTTCTTCACACTGAATTTGGATGCCCTTAAAAAATATTTTTAAAAATATTTTTCTCTTCAAATCACATCCTATTAAAAAATTTCAGGTCTCTCATCCTCCTAACATTTCCCTTCCTAATTTTCCAAATAGATTTTTCTCAGGCGTAAAGAAAACTTAAGTCATAGTAAAGTTAAGTAAAGTTACACATGGTTAAGTGAAGAAATATTAATTTATAGTAGGTGATTAATTTTCCCCAACATTTTATTATGAAAAATTTCAAACATACAGCTAAGTTGAAAGAATTATACAGTGAACACCCATATATCCACTACCTAGATTCTACAATTGTTAATTTTGCTTTTGTCTCTCACTTTAACACATACCTATCCATCCGTCAATCCATCTTATTTTTTGATGCATTCAATAGTAGTTTGCAAATATCAGCACACTCTATCCCTTCTCATATCAGCATGCATAATATTAACCAGAGTTCAATATTTGTTTATGTTTTTTTTAAGGTAAATTACATATTTAGCGAAATGTGTAGATCTTAGGTATAACATTGACTGAGTTTTGACAATTGTTTAGCCCAGACCCCTATCAAGATCTAGAATATTTTCATTACCCCCAGAAAGTTCCTTCATGCCCCTTCTCAGCCAGTCCCTCTCCACGTACCCTAATAGGTAACGACTGTTGTGATTTTTTTTTCTACCATAGATCAATTTCGCGTATTCTAGAACCTCATATAAGTGGACTTATACAGATGCGCTCTGTTGTATCTGGCTTCTTTCACTCAGTATGTCTTTGAGAGTCACCCATGTTGTTGCATCTATCAGTAACTTGTTCTTTTTTGTTGCTGTGTAGTATTCTATTGTAGGAATATGCCACGCTTTGTTTATTCATTTTCCTGTTGATGGACACCTGGGTTGTTTCCAGCTTGGGGCTATTATGACAACATGCCTTATGAATATTCTCGTACTAATGGACATATGTTTTCATTTCTCTTGAGTAAATGCATGGGCTTGGTATTGCAGGGCCGAGGGGTGCCTGTATGTTTTGTTTTATAAGAAACTACCAGACCATTTAACCCAAGTGGCAGTAGGAGATTAATTTTTTAAAAGAATCGTTTATTATATAGGTAATATGGTTATATGGTTCAAACTTAAAATTCGACAATTAAAATACCCTCCTTCTCCACACACCCCCTCTTTCCAGTTCCCATTTCTCCAAGAGGTAGGTAAATGTTCTTTCTTTATTCTTCTAGATAAAGGATAGATCTACAAACCTACAAGTGCTTATACTATATACATGGTTCTACACTTTGCTTTCTAAGAGGTTTTATTTTTTAATTATCTTGTCTATGTGCCTTGTTATATAGTTTATATATATATTCATTACCTAAACCTGAATAACCCCATATGAATTCTAATTAGACAATTCATAAAATGCTTGATCACTTGTATACTTTTTAAGCTAATGTACTAGAGTAGGGATGTTAAATTCTCCAGTTCTCGTGACTTGAATTTGATGACTGTACCTTTAAGGAGAGAGTTTTAACCTCAGATCTTTTTGAACTAAGCAGTTCTGCAATCTAGTTTCTGCGTCCCAGAAAGTGAGACTTAAGCTGCAGTGGCATCCAATTCCTTTCCTTATTTGTAACACTTCTAAAAGTTGTAGTTTTTATATATCATAACCAGTAAGTTCAGTCTGTTCCAAAACACCTTGGTCTTGATGTGTTTTCTCTGTTTAATAATCACTTTTATTAAAACAAGTACAGCTAATTGACTGATCTACCAGGTTTGCAACTAATATTGTCACATAATGCAATAACATCTATATGTAACACCACTGTACAGATGTAGGGAGGTTATAGTGAGGGACTTGATAAAACATGCAAGTATGCTCCTTTTCATGAATATCTACTAGGCATTTCCATTGCTGTAGTTATCAATTGTAGTTACAAAAACATGTGCACAGCGCTTACAAAATGACAGCGGAAATGTACTCTGTATAAAGCCCACTGGTTTATACATCGATGATCTTATAATTTTGCTGCTTCTGCTTGTCACTAGGAGGAATTGAGGTGATTAAAAAACTTTACCGACTTTGAACCCTTACTGAAACTGAGAATCAAAGCACTACTGTACCCTGGCTGCGTGACCTTGGCAACTTGTTACCCCTCTCAACCTCAATTTGCCATCAGTCAAGTGAGGAGAGAGCAGAGCAGCCTTTTAGGATTACTGTGAGGGCTATGAGATGGTGTATATCAGTGCCCACAGCAGGGCTTGGCACCAATATTAGCCTTCTGCTTGTGTTGGCATAAAACTCAAATAAGTTGTGAGAAAAGTGAGAAGACTTTTTAGTTGTCAAAAAACAGTGCTGTCTGCTTGCCTCTAAGTTATGTAAGCAAATAATTCATATCTGAACCATAGGTGTTGTATTAGAAATGTGAATTATGAGTTGAGCATTTGGACCATTTGTAATAAATGCCTTTCAAGACTACATTTTGAGACCCAATTCTTAGGGACTCAAAGAAACGCAAGGGCAGACTGTGCCTTAGAACTTACAATCACCTGAGGCAGAGAGCAGTAAAACCACAGCGGAGGACTTAGGTTTCTTGATTCCGGAAGTGTTGCTCTTTCCAACTGAGGCAGCTGTGGTGGTGGAAAGAAAGGTTACTGAATTTTGGACCAGAAAACCCCAGCTTCAGACTAACCAAACTCAGGCACTTTCTATAGATGTGACCTTGCAGAAGTAATTTAACCTCTGTGTACCTCAATTTCTTCCTCTATAAATGGAAATAATGATCTTTCTTAGGGGTTTGTTAGGGTTAAATGAATTAAGGTATGTGTAAGTGTTTTTAAAATTGTAAAAACCCAGTGTATCAAGTTTGAGATTATATCAAAATAAAAAATTACAATAATAACACAAACACCTAGGAAAAAAGGGTAGGAACCGAGGCATATCTGGGGTTCTAAATAAAGAGTGGGACAGTCCCTTCAAGCTGTTGCTGAATCAGTCTTTATGTCACTTTGTTTAGTATTCTACTTCAGAGAGAGGTTGAATACTCAACTTCAGATGTTCGCTTAGTCTGGCCGTCATCAGGCGCTCTTGCCTTCTGCAGGGGATCGTGGGCACTTTGATTAAGGTCCCACCAGATTGTATCTGATATGAGGTTAGTTTCTGCAGAGCAAAATCAGAATGCTATTGCAAGAAAAAGGGGAAATGGATGCTGGGCAAGCATAAACATCAAGCAGATGCCTCAAGAACAATGCAAACGTCAGCATCCTCTGTGTGCACATAAGAATTTTATAAACAGAAGCAGAAGAGAGTACTTTTAAGAACCAGTAATAGCTAGTATAATTGGGAGTTCAGTTTACGAAATTTCATTGAACTGTATAGCTATGATATGTGAACTTTTCAGTAGGTATATAGTATACTTAAATTTTAATGCCATGTATTAATACTCCCAAATAGATAATTATATGCTGAGTACTTTAAGACCTATCAGATCATGCTAGCTAAATGCTCATTTTTATTTCCGTGTGCATTTAGCCTTCAACAGCTCCTATAAATAGGTTAAGATTTTCTGTGAATTCTGTTGATTATGTTAAGATTTTATTATGATCATCTTTAAATAAACCAGAGAATATATTTCTTGACTTGGAGGACATTCCTAAGAGTGGTGATACTGATCAGATAATTTTCTATGTCTGGGGAAGACTTTAAAATTATTTTATGAAGAATTATAATGTGTCTGGTATTTTTACCTCTTAGAGTTGCTATTTTCATATCTAACACCTAAAATCTCACAGAGCGAAGACCTATTTTCCCAAAAAATTTTAGGTAAAACAGGATTAAAGAAAATAAAGAACACAGTGGCTATCCTTTGAGTTATAGTTTTAACTCTGTTTTTGGAATGCTGTTTCACCACTTTGTCTGTATTTTGTTTAAATGTGTGCAGTGCATGTGGTGACGTGTGACCCCCAAGAAGTCTTACTGGGAAGGTAAGACTCTGGCAAGTGTAGGATGCAAATGCACCTTTAGTTTGGCAGAATAGCTCACAGTGCACGAAGTATCATTAAAATACAGTTTACACACATCAACACATAGTGGTGGCTCCTTCATACCTTTTAAGGAAAATGATGTATTCTTGGTTTGTTTCGGGTAGGTTCTGCCGTTCCTGTATTGCTACCAGTCTAAAGAACAATAAGTGGACCTGTCCTTATTGCCGGGCATATCTTCCTTCCGAAGGAGTTCCAGCAACTGATGTAGCCAAAAGAATGAAATCAGAGTACCAGAAATGCACCGAGTGTGACACCCCGGTATGTGACCCTTGCGTGTGCTGGTGATTACCGGCTTAGACCTCTGACAAAATTGTCATGCAGCTAATCACTTCAGCTATGCCTTTAACCTCATCCTACCCCGACTTTCTAAAGTTTATTGTCTCAGCCTCTCCCCTTCCTTTCTCCAATTTCATGTACGTAGGCTACAGTAAAATTGTCACCTGACTCTGACCACCACCTAATTTTTCAAACAGATGCTTTCATTGACCACCCCCATTTCCTCTCTTCCCATTACTCCCATGACCCCCTATTGTGTGGCCTCCATTCCTGCTCCTCTATTGCAGCCCACCAGTGAATAGCTTTATTATCAAATCCAGTGGCATAGTTCCTCCTATATTATTCGGAACTCTGCAGTGTTTGTCTCTATTAATCACTTCCTCCTTGTTGCATTTTTCCTCTTTGATACTATACTGGCCTGATTGGATCATTCGAGGTCTTGGAGGCCATGTCAAAGATTCTAGATTTTATCCTAAATGCAGTAGTGAGTCATAGAAAAAGAGGAAGCTTTTGATCAGGTTTATATTTTTAAGATATCACTCTAGCATGTGCGTGGTCAATGGTTTGAAGGGGGCAAAAGTGGAATTGGGGAAGCCAGTTAGGTGGCTGTTAGGATGGGTTCGGTAAGTAGGCTGGATTAGGGTGATAGCATTAGATCTGGAATAAGAGGTTGTTTCAAGGCGTATTTAGGAGAGAGAATTGAAAGAAATTGGTAATTGACTGGATGTAGGGGTAAGTGAGAATGAAATGTCAAAAATGCCTCCCAGGTTTCTGATGTGAGTAGGTGAGGGAGCAGATTTGGAGAAGAATCCAGAGTTAGGTTTTAGATACGTTAAGTTTGAGCTGCTGATGGGCCGGCCCGGTGGCTTAGCGGTTAAGTGCTCACGCTCCGCTGCTGGTGGCCCGGGTTCGGGATCCTGGGCGCGCACCGACGCACCGCTTCTCTGGCCATGCTGAGGCCAAGTCCCACATACAGCAACTAGAAGGATGTGCAGCTATGACATACAACTATCTACTGGGGCTTTGGGGAAAAAAAAAACAAGGAGGAGAATTGGCAATGGATGTTAGCTCAGGGCTGATCTTCCTCACAAAAAAAAAAAAAATTTGAGCTGCTAAGGGGAGGATATTTAGATATACCAGTCTAGAGATCAAAAGAGAGATGGTGTACTGAGGATCTGAATTTCCTTAGAGAACCTTTCTTTGTTCATTGTTAGTGTAAATTAATGTAAAGCCCATTACACTTTCTCTTAGCACTCTGTGCTTTCCCTTTATAGTGTTTATCACCATTTGTCATTATGCTTCTATGATTTTTTAATTTCATGTCTATTATCCCCACCAGATTTAAGTTCCATGAGGGTAAGGACTATGTCTGGTTTTTTTTTTTTGTGAGGAGATCAGCCCTGTGCTAACATCTGCCAATCCTCCTCTTTTTTCTGCTGAGGAAGACTGGCCCCGGGCTAACATCGGTGCCCATCTTCCTCCACTTTATCTGGGACGCCGCCACAGCATTGGGTGCCAAGCAGTGCGTCAGTGTGCGCCCGGGATCCGAACTGGCGAACCCCAGGCCACCGCAGCAGAGCTCGCGCACCCAACTGCTTGGGTCACTGTGCTGGCCCCAGGACTGTATCTGTTTTATTGGCAATATGTACCCAGCACTTTGAAACGTGACTGGCACACAGGAAGGGCTCCATGCGTTTTTTTTTTTTTTGAATATTTATGTAAGATTCAATAATCTATTCATGGCTGACTGACTACAGAATTTATGCATGGTCTCTCACTTATTCTTTGTGATTTTGGGCAATTATTAATCTAAGTTTTTGTTTACCTCCTTGAAAAATGAGGAAAAAGGTAATGTTTGTGTCAAAGTCTGGTTGTAAAGGTAAATCATAAAACATATGGCTTTTAGCACTGTCTGGAATATTGTAAATGCTCAAAATCAATAGCTTTTTACATTCATAATAATAGATTGTTGCTTATTTTTACTTCGATACTTTTTGTCAGATATGAAATTCAAGATGCACAAAATTAAACTCATCGTATTATTCCATCATCCAGTTCTTTATCTCACCTTTGGGGTCTGTCAGAAACAAGAAAATTCTCTCAATTATCTTGGGTGGAAATCCCCTTCTTTTTTTAATCCACTCATTTCTGATTATTCACAAGGATTTTGATTTTTCCTTTGAGATATTTCTTCTGTCTCTTCCTTTTCATGTTATTCCTCTTGCCAGGGATACTGCCATTCCTTCTATAGCCATTTTATTTATTTATTTATTTATTTTTTTTTTTGGTGAGGAAGATCAGCCCTGAGCTAACATCCTTGCCAATCTTCCTCTTTCTGCTGAGGAAGACTGGCCCTGAGCTAACATCTATTGCCAGTCCTCCTCCTTTTTTTACCCTAAAGCCCCAGTAGATAGTTGTATGTCATAGTTGCACATCCTTCTAGTTGCTGTATGTGGGACACCGCCTCAGCATGGCCTGACAAGAGGTGCATTGGTGCGCACCCGGGATCCGAACCCCGGGCCGCCAGTAGCGGAGCGCGCGCACTTAACCACTAAGCCATGGGGCTGGCCCTCTATAGCCATTTTAGACTCTACTGATTCTTCAGAGTCTAGGCCGCATCTCCATTCCATGAAACCTGGCCTTTGTATGCCAGTCCCCAATATCAAACGGTTTCCTATGCACTTGTATCTTTTTTTTTCCCTCCTTTAGAGTGTAAGCACCCTCACAGCAAGCACAGTGGCTTATGTTTCCTCTGTCTTTTCTTAGAATGCCTTACATAATTTTGTGTCTAGAGTAGAATGAATTATCAATTCATTTGTCAGTACATAGTCCCCAAATTGCTAATTTAAATGAGGAATGTTTCTCTTTGTTGATCAAGGAATGCAAAGAGGAAGAAAGAAACTTTTAACAAAAGTCATAAAGAGATGAGAGAGCACTAATGTGCAAGGTTGGATGTTAAAAGTTGTGAAACAGTCTGTTTTAAGACGGCTACCTAGATTGGTCCCAGTTTTTACCTCTTTTAGATGGATATTTGTAAAGCAAGGATTTGTTTTCACTTTTCCACTTGATTTTATTTTTTATCTTGTGTTAAGCAGTTATAACTGTTTCCTTGATATGGTAGGTTTCACGTTTGAGGTTTAACTTCCGTAGCTTGGGCAAATTGAAGCAGAGTGGGTTGGCCACCTTACCACAGCTGTACAGAGCTTCCTTTAGCACAAGATTGTATCAGTTTCTAATGACACATTTAGTGGAATATGTGTTATTTAGCAACAGATCCCTCCTGGTTAGGATCTCTGAATGTATATCTGGAGGAACAAGGGTTCTCTATTCTGCCTTGATATATATGGACTGCAAGAGCTGTCTTTTATGTTTACTCTTAATGGGCCCATTAAGTATACTGTGTATTGTCAATTCATGTAACACAACTGGATATACTATAAAACCATGGTATTTGTATCTTTCTGTGAGGCACAGGGTTTCTTTTTACTTACTATGAACATCTCTAAAAATCCTTCCATTTATTCTTTTTCTCTCTCTTTGTTTTCTTTCTTTCTGTCTCTCTTTTTTTTCTTTCCTCCCTCTTGCTCTCTTTTTCCTCTCCCCATTTTCTTTCTCACTTCCTTCTTTCCATCACTGACTTAGGTAATGGCATGCAAAAAAAGTAAATTTGAGATAGTATACATCTTTTCAGTTTACAAAACATATGCTTTCTAGAAGAACCAAATTCAAAACTCAATATTTGGGCCTTCTAAGTATTAAAGAAATTTTAAAATAGTGTTATTCTTGAGAATGCCGTAACTTTGTGTACTGTTGTCATGAATGCATCCTTTTAATCAAGTGTCCTCACGCTATGACCTTATTTGAAATAATGAAAGTCATAAAGCTGGATTACATAAGACTTCATTGAGCCCCTTTCCAACAGTGAGTTTATTTTCAATTTGCTTTTATATAGGTTTGCCTCAGTGAAATGAGGGCACACATAAGAACTTGTCAGAAGTACATAGATAAGTATGGACCACTACAAGAACTTGGGGAGACAGCAACAAGGTTTGTTTCAATACAGTATCGTTTAATGCTAAATTTGATATGCCTGTAAAGAATTTAATGGGCTGGAAAGTTTAACAATTTTATTGTGAAAATATGTATGTAGTTATATTTATCTTAATCATAATACCTGTTATTGGTAATCATTTGTTAATAGCAATAATTATGAAAGAATTTTGCTTTCTTAACTTTAAAAACTTTGCATAGGAGAACCAACAGAAAACCAGAGAGATTGGGGAAACTTCCTCAGACAAGTTTGTATTAAGGAAGATCCAAAAATAGAATGCAGAACTGTTCAATTTCTGCTAGGCTCTGTTTTCTGAGTAATAGATTGTTGAAGTAAATCATGGTTAAGAGGTTATTCATCTTTACTTTTCCATCGCCACCACTCAGTTCTCCAGCTCATTCCCTCTCATTTTGCTGGTTTCTCTTTAAAAGGTAAGAAGTGACATCTCAGGATATATATCCTAACAAGGAAGAACAGGCCTGGGGCAGGCATTCAGAATCCTGTACCTGCTTGGTGCCTAATCTTATAGGGGGCTGAAGGAAGGATGGAGGTGGCTAGTAGGTATAGTGGAGAATATTGATCATTAACTTTTTTTTTTCTTTAAAAAAAGAAAAGAAGCAAATCTAGGTCGTTACCTCTATCCTTATAGCCAGAGTAATTACAAAGTTTGGAGTCTCTCTGTACTGAAGAAATAAAGAAATGATTTGTGTTTTCCTGCATAAGCTGATGACTTGGAAATCATTAAACCTGTTTATAAACTCAGTTATCATAGTGATATTCAGTAGAAGTGTGATTTCTTTCTTCTGAAGGAAAATCTTAGTTCTGCTTTTTTTAAGAAAATACACTCAAAATATAGCTTAAATTTCCTAACCCAGAAGTCTAAATGATTGCCCCATTCCTTTTGTTTTACTAGAGATTGCTTTGCAAATGTACCTGTTATTATAGGATTAGTTTTATACCATGGCATTATAAATTTTAAACGAGTATTTTAGCTCTAAGCAGAGTATGGATTCTGTTAGATTTACTACAAAGACCAATAGGAAGAAAGGATAACAAATGGGTTGAGAAAGCGTGTGGGTTTGATTGCAAAGTTGATAAGCTTTATGAAAATTTAAAAATATATGAAAGCTAATTTAAATCCTAATTTCTCGTGCTACTTAGAATTAAGTAATAAAGAATTAGAATAACAGAAAATGAGAAGGGTTGTTGATTAATCAATCTTACAGGCTAGATTAATATTTGCATTTAAGATAGAAATCTTTGCTTTATAGAAGAACTTACTACATGATTCAAATTTTTAAAATTCGTATGCAGGGAGCTTGTCCAGAGTACAAGTCTTCGGGAACAGGAACTTATATTTATAATAGAGAGTGAGCAAAAAATTCCAAGCCTCCATATTTTTCCTAAGAATTTAAGGCAGCACTATCCAATAGAAATATAATGCAGAAGACATTTGTAATTTTAAATTTTCTAGTACCCACACTAAAAAAGTAAAAAGAAACAGGTGAAATTAATATTTTATTTTATTTTTTTAATTTTTTATTTATTTTTTTTTTCCCCCAAAGCCCCAGTAGATAGTTGTATGTCATAGTTGCACAGCCTTCTAGTTGCTGTATGTGGGACACGGTTTCAGCATGGCCAGACAAGCGGTGCGTCAGTGCATGCCCGGGATCCAAACCCGGGCTGCCAGCAGCGGAGTGCGCGCACTTAACCGCTAAGCCACGGGGCTGGCCCAATATTTTATATTTTATTTAACTCAATATAGCCAAAAAATTATCATTTGAACATGTAATCAATATAAAAATTGAGATATTTTACATTTTTTTGGTGTTAAGCCTTTGACATTCAGTGGGTATTTTATACTTCCAGCATATCTCAATTTGGACTAGCCACATTTCAAGTCGCAATAGACACATATGGCTGACAGCTACTGTATTGGACAGCACAACTGTAAGGGACAAATACTCCTTATGTACACCTGTAGATATATAGGCTAGTGGAGTTGGAGAACAATGACACCCAATTCAGATGTTACCTGAATTAGGAAAGGAAGGAAGAAAAATGGACAGAAAAAGTAAACCAGGGACAGCTGGGTGGTGTGATCCTCAATTTCTCAGTTAACGGGTACTCAGATTGCACTTTCTCCCAAAGACAACAAAGTGTTTCAAGTGTGTTGTAACTGTTTTTCTGTGAGGATACACATTTGCATTTCTCCTGAGAAAAAATTTAGGCACAAAGACCATTATCAGGATAGGAAAAATAATATGAAATCTGAAAGAATGAGAACTGGAAACTAGATTCACCTACATTCTATTTTTCACCTCCAGTTAATTGCCAACAATTTTAGTAATATTTGTATTCTATGCAATTTCCAGGTGTGTATGTCCATTTTGTCAGAGGGAATTAGATGAAGACAGCTTGCTGGATCATTGCATTACTCATCACAGATCAGAAAGGAGACCTGTGGTGAGGATTTTTTCATTGTATATTTCTGCAGTGTCTAAATTCAGTATACATTAGAAAATCCATTTAAAAGCCTTCTATTTATAGACATGATAAAGGATAGTTTATGTCAAGCTTAGGGTGGTTCTATGACTATTAACAATACGAAAGTGTTGAGTTGAAACTGATAAGAATTACTAACCTGCAATCATTCTTTTATTTATGAAATTAGACATCATCTCTTACAGATAATCATGGGCATAATCAACTAAGAAGATCTAAAATGCACAGTTAAGGTATACTAACCATGGTCACGTCCTAAGTTAAAAACATTTTTTAATAATGTAAATAGGGTTATCATGACAATACACTAGAAATGAGAAGTAGACAGTCATTCATCTTTATTAATCAATCTGTTGTTTTATTTCCTAGTCTGAATATTTATCCATATGCTTGCACATTAAATATACATATTGCTCTTCATTTCCTAGGTCCATTGTGAGTGCTCCTTTTTTTCTTTTCAACCTGGCATTTTAGTTCTACTTGGCAGTGTAGCTGTTATAGTTTTCGTTTCTGTATAGTTGTGAGGAAAAGCAGAGTGATGATGGAATGATGATCATCATTTACGTAGCCATTTGACTATTTTTGAACACTTTGTTGCCAGTTTTTAGGATTTGAGTTCATATTCTTGGACATTTAAACTTTTCTTTCTTTCTTTTTTTTTTTTTTTTTTTATAATTTTTATTTATTTTTTTTTTCCCCAAAGCCCCAGTAGATAGGTGTATGTCATAGCTGCACATCCTTCCAGTTGCTGCATGTGGGACGCGGCCTCAGCATGGCTGGAGAAGCGGCGCGTCGGTGCGAGTCCGGGATCCGAACCCAGGCCGCCAGCAGCAGAGCGCACGCACTTAACCGCTAAGCCACGGGGCCGGCCCTAAACTTTTCTTTCTATTGGATTTTTCCTATGAGGGAATTCCTTAGATTGATATTTCTTTGACCAAGAGGGCAAACTTTTTAATAACTCTTGAAATACACTTCTAAAATGCCTTCCAAAAAGTTTGTCAATTTATATTTCTGTCAGCAATTTATGAGTAAACCAGTTTCACCTTAACTTGGCCAAGATTGGCTACATTTATTTTAAAATTGCCCAGGCTTAACAACTATATAGTTATACCTTGAAGATTATTTTTTTCTTTTTTTTTGTGAGGAAGATCAGCCCTGAGCTAACATCCGTGCTAATCCTCCTCTTTTTGCTGAGGAAGACTGGCTCTGAGCTAACATCTATTGCCAATCCTCCTCCTTTTTTTTTCCCCAAGGCCCCAGTAGATAGTTGTATGTCATAGTTGCACATCCTGCTAGTTGCTGTATGTGGGATGCGGTTTCAGCATGGCCAGACAAGCGGTGCACACCCGGGATCCAAACCCGGGCCGCCAGTAGCAGAGTGCGCGCACTTAACCACTAAGCCACGGGGCCAGCCCATGAAGATTATTTTGAATTTTATTTTATTTTTATATGTATATGTATGTGTGTTGTTTTTATATATATGAGTTTTTGGTTTTATAAATGTAAGTTTGTTTTTTTTTCATAAAATCCTTTTGGGAAGTGGATGAAATTGAAACAAGATAGACAGATGATAGACAATAGATGATAGATAGATAGATAGGTAGATAGATAGTCAGTCCTCACAACAATCCTATGAGATAGGTATGATTATTATCCCCATTTTACAAATGATAAACTGAGGCTCAGAGAGGTTATGTAAGTCTTGCAAGTTAAGTGGCAGAGCTACAATTTGCACACAGTCTAGCTCGAGGGCCTGCATGGTAACACCTGTGCTCTACCAGCATGTTCAAGAGAAAAGCCCCACAGCACAGTCAAAGGTACTTATTATTGATCCTAATGGCTTAGGGGTTTGGTTCTTGGAATGGCTAGCTAGGAGCTTGATATGTATTCTGGGAGCAGGGGAGATTGTCATGGGCTTTTCCTGCTCAAGTTGCTCTGCAGGAGGAACTGGGCTAAGGAGTTGTTTTACGATAGGTCCTTGGGAAGCCAGAGGAAGTCAGAAGAAAGCATTAGGATGGCATAATAATGGCTACCATTTACTGAGTTCTAAGTGCCTCCTTGGGGCCAGCCCAGTGGCGTAGTGGTTAAGTTCGTGTGCTCTGCCTGGGCGGCCCGGAGTTCGCAGATTCGGATCCCAGGAGCGGACCTACGCACCACTTATCAAGCCATGCTGTGGCAGGCGTTCCACATATAAAGTAGAGGAGGATGGGCACAGATGTTAGCCCAGGGCCAATCTTCCTCCACCCCCACAAAAAAAAAAAAAAGTACCTCCTTGTCTCCTCCTAGCACCCCTATGAAGAAGGTATTATCAACACACCTTGAGCCCTGACTAGTATTACCCAGGGTGCTGCTCTGGCTGGAGGAACACTAGGCACTCTGGACCATGGTCTTGGGCTACATCATAGCAGCAATTTAAGGCAGGCCACATACTAGTCCGTCCATTAGTACTATGTACCTGCAGAAGTCCAGTCCGTGTGCTGCTCCGTTTGGCCATCAGATTGAAGGTGGCCCATGGAAGCTAGGCCTTCCATGATTTAGAGTTTGTAGAAGTCATTGAAGAAAACTGACCTAAGGACAGAAATAAACTAGCAACGAGGGATCAGATTGCCCATGGAATGTGGTAGTTAAAGCCTAGGCTTTGCAGGAGATAAGCTTTGGTGCAAATCCCAGAAAATCCTATTAACCTCTCTGTCTCTGTTTCATCATTTGTAAAATGGGGATGATGATGATGATAATGATTCCTTTTTCACAAGGTAGTGAAATAATACCCTGTACCAGTGAATGAGCAGGTGATAATGGTACGTTACTACCACTTTTGCAACTATGTAAAATCAAGGCTAGTGGAGAGTTCTCAGAGGAAGTCATATACTCTCACGGTTGGGGAAACCAAGCTGGGAGGGGTAGGGAAGGTGAAGTGGTAAAATTTCACAAGACCAGGATGCTATCATGGCCCTGAGGCAGGAGCAGATTGTTTAGAAAATCCATGGTTCTGTAATACACTAGGGCCGTCTAGAGGTGGTCACTGGAACAGAAGACCTTTGGGTGTCTGATGTTGGCAGTTCATTCTTGACTAGAAGCTCAAGACACATGTCACTCTGAAGGATCTAGAGCCATTAGAAGTCAGGATAAAAAAAAAAAAAGTCAGGATATATGCTGTGGTTATGAAAAGGCTGGACGTAGATACTGTGGCATAGCTGGGGTTCACGTGCTTAGGGATCCCCACTGGGGACACATAGTTGAAAACACTCTGGTAGAAGTCCTGGACAAGGAGGGCTGAGCCCGAGGCTGATTCTGGATTGGTGTGGAAGTTAGCAAGGAATTATTGCTTTAAAGGACTGGATTGCTGGGTTTGCCCACAGATAAGATCAGTGCCATCATCTGATTTACCTGGTACAGGAAGTTTCAGGGCAGTTAGAGACTTGGGCAAATGATTCCACTTTCCAGTATAATTAGATAATTCAGAGATCAAACTACAAGCAGCTAATCCTTTCTTTCTGACTTGCTCAAGACTGAGATAGTAGGTTAAGAGCATCAGGGTATTTGACTTTTCTCACATGCAGCTTCAACAGCCAACAGCTCCTTTTTGTCACACAGTAATTATATTCTGTCATGTTTTATTTTTTTTTGAAAAATTATAGCTATGGAATGTTAGACTCAAAGGAGGCAAATGACACAAGCAGCACATGCTTCAGATTGCATTATGAGACCACCTCTGAAAGGAGTTTAGTATTTTATCTTGTAAAGGGAAGATGTTTCAGCCAAAACCACACTTTCTGGCTATCTTCTCTGCCCAGGGTCCCCTTTCTTTCACTGGTTGGGCTCTTCTTTATCCTTTAGAGCTCAGCTTAAATCTCACTTCCTCAGGAAGCCCTCCCTGACACCCTAAGTAATTTCAGCTCTTGCTTTTCTCACCTCTTTTTTTCTAATTTACCACAGTTTGTAATTGTGTATTCATTTCATGTCTGTCTCTCCCTCTAAATTATTAGGTTCATGAAGTCATGGAACTTAACTCCTTTGTTCAACCCTGCATGTCCAGTTCTTGGTGGAAAACCTAGCACATAGTAGGATGTAGTGATATGAAAAAAAGGATATTAAAGAAAAGCATAATGCCATTCACCCAGGTTCAAAGATTCCAGTAGTCTTTTATTTTCTGTCTTGCTCTGGAGATTCATTCCTTAAGGGAAGGGACAGGACTTCTGTTGGTTTGGAACATAAACTGTGGTGACTAGAGTCTGAGCCACTCGTCCACAGCAGTTTATTTCCATTTATCTTCAGAATATCTGTGACTTGACTGGGCAGTGGGAGCATATGTGCATAAATGTTTTGGAAGGAAGAAAAATCTTCATTAGATTTGCTTTCAAACTCCTACTACATTAGATGTGCAATTTGATACCTTAATTTTGGTTACATATTTGCCTTTAATTATTTTCAGTGCATGTGTCTTTTCTCTTCTTTGGTTCTTGGATTTAGTGGTCTTTAATTTCTTCCCCAAGTGGCATTTGCCATCATATAGAAAGTGTTCTGTAATTGGCTGAGTTGCTGTGGAGGTTAATCTAAACCACAGATAGAGCTGGGTGTCCATTGTAATGGACATTCCGAAGGATTGAAATTGGTGGCAGCTTCTAATATGGCGACTGTTATTTGCCCATTGCATTCACCATCAAATAAAGGCCATACTGAGATGAGGCCCATGTCTTTTGAATGTACACTGTACAATCGTTGGTTCCTAATATGAGTAGTATGGCCTGGGAGCATTGAGTAGAGAGAAATAATAAAGGATGAGCTGATGTTAGGAAATTGGCAATGTTAGGAAGAGAGTAGGTGAACACTTAGGTAACGATCAGTCTCTCACTTACCATTTCCGTCTCCTTCCTATTCTTACCCTTTCCTCCATCAGGTCAAATCCCCTAGTTTAAGAAACAAAAGAAATTTTTGGAGTAACAGAAACTTTAGGCCATTGTTTTGCAGTGTCCTTCTGGTGGACGTCTCTTTAGTCACACAGCTAAATTTTATGTACACCAGAAGACTGAAGCCTCCACTAGTTCCTTATTAACATCAGACTACAAACAAAAACTACTTTGCTTAAAATTCCAGGTTTTCTGTAGCTTTCTCCTCTGCTAGACTCGAAGCTCCTTAATGATAGGGCCAGAGCTTAGTCATCTCTGTACCTCTGGCTCTTGGCATGGGGCCGACAAACCACGTTAGGTGCTCAAATAAGTGTCTGTCGAGTAGAACTGGTCCCAACTTAGCGTTCCAGACTCATCTCCCACCACTTCCTCCAACATGCCCTATCTTCAGCTTCGCTGAGCTATTTCCATTGCCTAAGCGGGCCCGTCCTTTTAGGATTTCCTGCGTTTCTCCACATTGATTCCATTGCCTGTGATGTGGCTCCCTTGACAGGACCGGCTCATTCTTCAAGACTCACTTCAGGGGCTGGCCCGGTGGTGCAAGTGGTTAGGTGTGCGAGCTCTGCTGCGGCATCTCCGGGTTCCCCAGTTCGGATCCCAGGCGCGCACCAAGGCACTGCATGTCGAGCCATGCTGTGGCAGCGTTCCATATAAAGTAGAGGAAGATGGGCATGGATGTTAGCTCAGGGTCAGTCTTCCTCAAAAAAAAAAAAGAGGAGGATTGGCATCAGATGTTAGCTCAGGGCTGATCTTCCTCACAAAAAAAAAAAAAAAAAAAAGACTCACTTCAGTTACCAGAAACTCAGCTGAATCCTTTCCTGAATTCCCAGGCAAAATTAATGACTCCCTTTTCAGGTCTTGAACAGTCGTCTGTTCGTATCTTGAATATAGTATTTGTTATGCTGCGTTGAAAGTATCTGCTTAAGTGATAATAATAGGAGCCATTTGTTATTTGTGCCAAGGACTCGGCTAATATAATGACTGAGCTTCATAATGTTGAATGATGTATTATTTTAAATCTACCAACAGCTCTCCAAAACAGAGATAATTCTCAATTTACAGGTTAAGATTAATTATTTGCCAAGGTTAAGTCAGTGAGAGGCTGGGATGAAATTGGAAACAATTTTCCAGGTACTGGGAAGGCAAGGGTGAACAGGACACGTGTAGTTTCTTCCCTCAGGGAGCCCCAGCTATTCAAGGACAAGGATCAAATAGTAGTAAATATGTGGCATTTATTAAATGCCTAATTATGTATCCAGCACATTAAGGACATTATTTCTAAACACCATAACTACTCTACAAGGTAGGTGGTGGTATCTCCATTTCACAGGAGAGGGAACTTAGTGCTGAAGGTGAGACAGCTAGTAAGAGCTGGTGCTAGGATTTGAACCCAAGCCTCGCTGACTTCAAAGGTCCTGCAACGCAACCCTATCTTACTGGTTTCCATAGTCCACGTGCCTAGTACGTAGTAGAGGCACAGTAAAGAGTGTTGAATGAACACATTTCTGTAACTACTGTTCTTTCTCTCATACCACAAAAAATTAATGTTGCTTTTCCATTAAAATATTTCTTGATCTCAGCTCTGTTCTCTTTACTATGTAGGGGTCTCAGGGTAGATTAAGTGCTATCTTGGGATAGCCAGTATTGCCAATTAACCAAGATAGCTAGAGCATTAGAGAATCGTAAATGGTTATACAGCAGTAATAATTTAAATGATGTAATTTTTTAAAAAATAAGACAAAGATTAATGGAGTAGAGCAAAATTCAGAAATGGACCTTATTTATAGAAATTGAGCATATTGAAACCAGAACCCCATAAAACAATAAGAAAGAAAAGAATTATATAAAGACCTCATTTAGATTTAAAGGAAAACATCATCAAAGGTGGTAAGTTAGACTCTGTTATAATCTGAAAAGAACCCTGGATTATCTATTAGAGGCTTAGATTCCAGTTCTGATACTTATAGTGGTATAAATTTAAGCTAATTTTTTTCCTCTCTGAAATTGGGCTCATCAACAAAATAAGGATAATAATTCATTGGGTTGTTGTGAGGATCAAATGAGAATACCACCTAACTTATACTTAGCACATACTTTGCACTCAGTAATGATTCTGCATCTCCTATTTTAGAAAATGAATACATGAAGAAATAAAATTTTTTAAAAACCTAGCTTAAAATATAATAAAGTAGCATATGTTAAAAGAAGGAGTCATTTATATTAGCCATTAGAGAAATGCAAATTAAAACTATGATAAGATACTACTACACACCTATCAAAATAACTAAAATAAAATATTGACAGTACCAAATGCTGACCTGAGTGAGGAAAAACTGGATAATTCACACATTGCTGGTCAGAATGTAAAATGCTACAGACACTCTGGAAAATAGTTTGGCAGTTTTTTACAAAGTTAACCATAACACTATATGCCCTAGCGATCATACTCCTGGAAATTTATCCTAGAGAAAGGAACACATGTTTATGCAAACATTCGTGCACAAACATTCATTGTAGCTTTATTTGTAACAGCCAAAAACTGGAAACAACAAATGTCTTTCAGAAGGTAAATATAAACAAACTGTGGTACATCCATACCGTGGAATACTACTCAGCAATAAAGAGGAAGAAACTATTGATGCACACAACAACAAGGATGAATCTCAAGATTATTAGGCTTAGTGAAAAAAGCCAATCTCAGAAGATTAAGTACTGTATAATTCTATTTATATAACATTCCTCAAACGATGAAATTATAGAGGTGGAGAACATATCAGTGGGTGCCAGGGTTAGGAGAGAAGAGAAAATGAAGGGGTAACACCAGGGAGCTCCTCTGTAGTGACAAAACAGTTCTGTAACCTGATTGTCTTGGTGGTTATATGAATCTATACATGTGATAAAATTTAATAGAATTATGCAAACCCAAAAACATGAGTTCTTGCAAAAACTGGTGAAATCGAAGTATAGTCTGTAGTCTAGTTAATTGCCAATTTCCTGGTTTTGATAATGTACTATAGTTATGTAAGATGTTACCGTTTGGGGAAGCTAGGTGATGGGGACATGGGATCTGTCTGCATTATTTTTGCAATTTCTTGTGAGTGTATAAATATTTCAAAATGAAAAAGTTTTGTTTAAAGAGCCATTAATGGCTATTAAATTAGGAAAATACATGTAAATACCAATATCTGATGCTGATGTGTTATAATCTGTATTGCTGATAGCAATAAAAAGCTATAGAGGAATAGGTATTATGAACTGTAAATGTTCATAAACTTTGACCTACTAATCTCCATTTCAGGTCATTTATCCTAAGAAAATAATCCTCCAAGAGATAAAACTAAAGATAATGTCATTTGTAATAACAGCATATGCACATACAAAAAAACTTAAGTATTCCAAGAGATAGGCAACTAATTAAGTAAATTATGGTACATCTACTAACTGTAATATTGTTTAAATAATAAATGGATAAATACCAAAGAAATAGCTCTACTGTTATATACAAGAAATGTGTTTGGAGAATAAATGCAATTTTATTTGTTTAATGTTGCTATAATATTTATGCAATTTTAAAACATAATACTGAGGTATGGCCAATAGATTCATAAAGTTAAAATTCACTGTTGAATGGTTATTTAATTTTTTAATTCTGACACTAATGATTATTTTAAATTCTTTGTTGAACTCTTGGTCCTGTTACTTCCAGTTCTGTCCACTTTGCCGTTTAATACCTAATGAGAATGCAAACAGCTTCAATGGCAGTTTAATAAGACATTTGCAAGTCAATCACACTTTGTTTTATGATGATTTCATAGTAAGTATATTTTCTTACTTTTACATTGTTTTTGTGCTGTCTGTGTTAAGCTTACCTTTTTTAATCCAAGTGAATAAAATTATAGAGGAAAAAAATGTGTATGTAGCTGAAGTGTTGAGTATTAGCATTAAGTGAGAAATCATAAAAATATAGTGTTTTATAAATTTGACTATTAATATTAAAGTAGTTATCTGCTTTAGACAAAATTATTTTCTTTGTGATCTATATAATTATCCATTGTATGAAGAGCCAAATTTTGCTTTCAAATTATTTTAATTTCTACTCTAGTCCCTCCTTATATATGGTTATAATTTTTATGAACCTGAAAATTTATGCAGCTGAGATGCAATCACATCAGTAATGAAATGGCTCCGAGTGTTTGTTCTGCATCCAGTTGCTTTTTGACCAGCTGTTAACAGATATGATATTATCAGTGTAGTAAGACACACCGGCCTTATTTTTAATTTAAATTCTAAAAAACACAAAACCCATGTTTATTGAACTTTTTTTAACTTAAAAAAAGTTTATTATAGGGCCGGCCCCGTGGCATAGCGGTTAAGTGTGCGCGCTCCACTGCTGGCGGCCCCAGGTTCGGATCCTGGGCGCCCAACAATGCACCGCTTGTCAGGCCATGCTGTGGTGGCATCCCATATAAAGTGGAGGAAGATGGGCACGGATGTTAGCCCAGGGCCGGTCTTCCTCAGCAAAAAAGACGACGATTGGCATGGATGTTAGCTCAGGGCTGATCTTCCTCACCAAAAAAAAAAAACGTTTATTATGAAAAAATGTTAAACATATGCAAACGTAGATGGAATAGTATAATGAGCCCCCATATACCCATCACTGACCCATCAATAACTAGCAATTCTTGGCCAATCTCATTATATTAAGACTTTTTTAAGATGCCAGAAAAGTTAGGTATAATATGAATAGTGCTTTAAACTTATGACTGTATTTCCCATGGTCAAAAATGAGAATAACAAGCAAAAAGTTAACGTAGCCTTTGTTGTACTTCAGTCCGCGCATTGCCATGCGAGGGTAATGTGTTGTCCTCTGAGCCTCTTTGAGCCTGTTATTGGAAGATTAATCACTCATAGCCATATTCTGAAATAGAATATTTTGTTACTTTTATCTAAATACATGAAATATTAAGGGCTAAATTTGAATTTGCATATAATTTCACATGATTTTGACTGTTTTCTTTTCATCCTATTTCAAGGTAGAATTTAATAATTGTTAAAGATTGTCATTTGAAAATTTTCTCCTTGCTATCTGCTCTGCCCACTATGAATAGCCGCGTTCAGCAGGAGCTTGGGTCCTAATCGAGGTTTAAGTAACAGCTCTCTCACAGCTGTGTGACTTTGGGCAAGATATTTAACCTCTGAGCCTCTGTTCATTTGTTAAGTGAAGAGAGTAAAAGCACCTACGCCCAAAAGCTGTTGTGAGGATTGAATGTGAGATAATGCGTGTAAAGTGATTTGTGCAGCTTGGGCCCGGATTTAGGCAGGTTGGTGATGGGGTGAGAGTAAACGGGAAGCATAAGAACCACTTGAGGAAATGAACGAGCTATACCCCAGAGGCTTCTCTCTGCTCCATCTCTCAAATAATGTCTTTCCTAGCCCCAAGCACACAGGCCTCAACAGAGCCTGGTTCTGGTCTGTGTGTTCTCATTTTTCACAACACATAGGACTTCCTCTTTATTTGAGCTCCATATGATGTTCTAAAAGCCGGGTTGATTCCATACCTGTTCTGGCTATTCACGTTCAGTCCATTCTTCTCAAGATCTTTCAGACAAAGTCTGATCCAGGGCAGGTCGGGAAGAAGTCACTTTCCCCCCGTCAAGACCATATTCTTGGGTATGGAAGTCAAGTTGAAGCCAAGTTCTTTGTTTTGATTTTCTGTTTCCTAAGCTACCACGTACTATACAAGGCACTTTATGCAAATTATCTAATTTATTCCTTGCAGCAACTTCTATGAAGTGAGTACTGTATTATTATCCTCACTTAGCTATGAAATATCTGATTCTCAAAGTTTAATAAATTGCCTAAGAACAAGCCACTATTTAGTCCAAATCTTGTGCTCTGCTGTGCTTTATGGCTTGCCTCTGGGTTTTGTTTATTTACTTTTATGTTCTAAAATAGACTTCGAATAGAGTTTACTTTTTTTTTTTAGTTTATTAGGGAAGAGGAAATGGATTACAGAGGATAGGACTCTTAATAGTTTTTATTTTATTTACAGAATGTGCTGATTTAAAGTTTTGAATTCCATTTTGACCATAGGGAGGCAAAGAGGAAGAGACTTTTGTTTTCAGCCTTTTTTTTCAGAAATAGATATTCAGTAGTACTGTTGGGATTGGTGAATCCTATGGGAATGTCTTAATTGTATTCCATGTTACATGTTTATGTGGAACATAGCACTCTGACCAGGATTTGTAATGTTGATTACAAACTACTAGTTAGATCAGATAAAAACTTTAAATTTCAAATCAAGGCTATTTTACTATGACAATAACTAGTTAATCCATAGGCAGTAAAATGAAATAGAAAATGCGCTAGCCCCAAAGCAAAAGTCTCGGGTTCTATGACAGTTTTTGTGGAAACTTGGACAGATCACTAAATTCAAGGCCTTAGTTTACTGCAAAACGAGGGCATTGCAATGACTCACTCCTCCAGTTTCTGAAAACTATCATCTCTGATTGTATGTTTCTAATTATTTTTCTTCATTGTAGGATTTTAATATAATTGAGGAAGCTCTTATCCGAAGGGTCTTAGACCGCTCACTTCTGGAGTATGTGAATCACTCGAACACCACATAATTTTATTAAAAGGAAAGCAAAGGAGATCATACAGTTGCACCATGTGTTAAGATGCTGCTTGAACAATTGAAGGGAAATGGTCAATGTTTGATGAGCAAAAATGTACAACACAGTTAAATGTCCGTGTTTGTTCTTATATTGCATTTTAAAACTGCTTTCATTTTGATGGTTTAAATCTGTTTTACATTCTTGAGTTTCTTAGACACTTAATGACAAAAAATAGTCTCCATCAGCCATTAATATATGGAAGAGAGCATAAGGCTGGGTATGTGAGTGAAGGATCTTTATTTGCAAATTGGATGACACTGTGTGTAATGCTACATATTAATAATTACCATCATGGCTGGGCAAGATAACTAATCTTTGTTCTATGTAAGAAGACGGAGAGTGAAACAGAGTGTGGACATTCAAGGAAATATGAAATCTATTCCAATGCTCATATTCTATTCTCTAATGGAATAACATGAATAATCTCGTATGACAGTAGGAAAGGAAAATTTTGGAAGTCAACAGATTCCATTTAACCAAATTGTATAACATAATACTGTAACAAAATAAATTTTGTGTTAGGAATGTATACTTAATTCTTTGACTTTTTATAACTATGCACACATGAGAATTTAATATTATATTTTTCAAATATTTGTAGCTTATTATTTAGAAATATTTCTATAATATAGGCAATTTTTTAAGAACCATCAGCTGATATTTACAGTAGAAATATTCACATCCATAATTTTTAGTGGAAAACCCTAAGGGCTTTGATTTTTTTTTTATCCTTTAGACAAATTATAAAATAAAACATAAATACTGAAAACCAAATAGAAAACATATAGCTTATTACATTATTATAGGGAACTACTCTCTTAGAACTCTGCCAGCCACCCTGGATGTCTTGTGTGTGTCCTGTCACAGTTAACAATCCTCTTCCCCACCCCACAAAAGTAACCACTATGTTGATTTCAGTTATAGTCACTTCTTTGCCTGTCTTTATCATCATCCAAGTGTGTATCTCTACACACTATATTTTAATCTTATCCATTTAAAATTGTTTTGTTAGTTATCTCTTTTACATCTCTTTTTAATCTACAGCTTCCCCTTTCTTTCATTTCCTTAAAATTTACCAGTTGAAGAACCTGGTCTTATGATCTATAAAGTTTCCCACAATCTGTTTTGCTGATTGGGTACTCATGGTGCAATTCAGCTTGTTCCTCTCTCCTCTGGATGTTGACACATGGATCCAGAGGTCTGAGCAGACTCGGGTTCAGTCCTTTTGGCAAGACTACATGTCATGGTGTGCTCTTTCATCCGAAGGCACTTATGTCTGGTTCTCTCTTTTTGTGATGTCAGCTGAAATTGATACTCAGTGCCTAGATCCATTGTGAGTTGGAGAATATTCTATCATTTCTTTTTCATTTATTAGTTGGAATATTTTTATAAAGAGATGTTTCCCTACATCTACTATTTGGTTAACCAGTGGTAAATTACATATAGAAAAGGGAAAGTAAATATTTGAATTTTCCGTTTACCTATTTTCAAGGTAATAGACTTGTTTCCTATCATCTTCCAGAGATCACTTTTTTTTAAAGTATTATAAACTCATGGATTCAAGCGTATTTGATAGGCTTCAATCCATTTCAAATTTTACCTTATTAAAGCTCAAATTGTCCCATCTTTGGCCATTGGGAGCCTCATCAAGTTGGTTCGAGTCCTTTTGACATTATTCTAGCAGTCTTTAACAGCCTCCTTGCTGGCTCCTATGATCGATATTCCAGGCTCAACTTGTATGTTTCCTGCCCCCAGACCTGGAATCAGCCGTTTCTCTGAGAAGCCTGGTTACTTACAGTGAGAAATGGCATTTCAAAACCATAATTGGGGTTCTAAGGATGCTCATTGCTATTAGATTGGTCATTGTTTCTCGGAGAGAGCTAGGAAATATCTATTTTTTTTAAGGGTAAAACATTTTATGAGTTTATTTTGATACTTCCAAATCAAATTGAGTACTACAGGTTTTTACCTAATCCTTTCCATTACAACTGTATCTCCATTTTTTCTATGTTGATAATCCTGGTTTTCAAGGACACAGGGCATGATAAAATTAGAATATCCCACAATTATTCATTTCCTTTATCTACCTTATATATATAATAGTCTTAGAATAACAATACTAACACAACTACCACCAGTATGATAACCAAAACTGTTAAAAATGTTTCCATATGCTCTCCCCATTCTCCCTCTATTTTTTAAAGTCATACTACATCAACATTTTCAGAACATACTGGTATAGCATGCTATACTCTCTCCCTTCTAGCTCCCATTTAATCTTAGTTCTTCAAGTAACTGTATATTCAGTGCTTGCCACCAGCCCTTATTTGATGGCCATGACTTTTTTTCATATCTTGCTTTTTAATGATGAATCCAGGACATAGAATAATGTTTCCATCTTGAAAGTAAGCACAGAAGCTATAAAGATTAGTGATATCAACTCCTGAGGATAAAAGGTTATTTGGCTGTAGTTAGCTTTGTAATTGTAATCATTTATAAACTTCTTTGTTCCTTACACGTAAATGTAGTCATAATCATGGTGCCCAAAATTTTATGTAATAAATTATCCATTACTTCTTTAAAGTCTTGCTTACTGTTCTGCCATTGAGTTCAAGGTAATTAGAAAAACATAAAACCGGATGAAATCTAGAGGGCCTTATTTCCGCCCTTTTAGGTATTGGTTTCAAGCTTAGTTTTCACAGCTGCAAAAAAGTTAACAACAGATTTTTAGTTTCACAACCTCTCTTCCTCCAATTTGGATGAATCATTCAATAAAGCAAAACCTGTTGGACAACAAGTTCGAAAGGAGAGGAATTTTTCAGAGGTAATCGGACTGAAAATCTAGTCCCTGAAAAGTAAAAGAATGTATTTCTGAGCAGTAGTACTGACTATCCAGAAAATAAATCTTTGTTAATTCAGAGCAATACAAAAGGCATCTTTAAATCTGTAAAACTTGAAATAATTTCCAAACTTTAAAACTGTATTTTAAGTAAAGCTTTAAGTCACCTGCCACTATTAACCTCAGTGCAGCAATTCTGCGTTTTCTCCCTGGATTCTTCTTATGATAATTTTGCCACCTACAGGACAAATTAGGTGCTGGCCGCCTGAATTATTTTGCGTTTTGAATTATTTTGAGTTCTAAAATGGTGAAGTGCAAATATTCACTGTTTCACTGTGCCTTTAACCTTTTATAAAAAGGTATTTATAATTCATTGTTTTTTGGTTTTGGTTTTTTTTTTTTTTTTTGATGAAGAAGATTAGCCCTGAGCTAACATCCATTTCCAATCCTCCTCTTTTTGCTGAGGAAGATTGGCCCTGGGCTAACATCCATACCCATCTTCCTCTACTTTATATGTGGGACGCCTGCCACAGCATGGCTTGATAAGTGGTGCATAGGTCTGTGCCCCGGATCTGAACCTGCGAACCCCGGGCTGCCAAAGCGGAGCATGCAAACTTAACCACTAACGCCACCCGGCTGGCCCCTATAATTCATTGTTTTAAGAAATGAAAACCAGTATTTGAAGTCATTGACTACTAACAAAAAGTTTCACTCACTTTCTTTATGGCACCTCAAAATGCAACTTTTTCAAGGCCTTAATAGGGGAAAAATGATTCACCTGTTATTCTTCAAAAGCTAAATTCTTCTAACCCTACAAAAACCTTCCTTCTGTGTATTGTTTCACCCAACTTTCTAAAATGTAGGTTGAAAAGTTGGATTGTGAATCTATGGTGAAGGTAGTTCCAGGGCGGACCTCCTAAGAGATCCTGGCTCCCGTGGTGTTGCTTCATTACTGTGACTGGGTGCTAAGTGTCTTTCATTTTGAAGTGACCTTACTCAGTTATTGAATGTTTGTCATATAGTTTGTACCATGCATTGAAGTTATTTTAAAAAGTCACTAAGAGGTTCCTTCTTTTATTATTCAACTGCAAAAAAAATCTGTATAATAATCAGAATTTAAAATGTACAATTCTTAAAAAAAAAATGTACAATTCTTTTTTCTTCTGTAAATATGTATCGTGAGAAATAAAGAATGGCAGGACCATTGCTTTCATTAAAATCTCTAGTGTGTCTGTTCTTAAATATTGATCTTGATAATTTTTTACACAAACCTAAAATGCTTTTAAAATTGTCATCATTCAGGGACCGGCCTGGGGGTGCTGCTTTGGCAGCCCGGGGTTCACAGGTTTGGATCCTGAGCTGGCACCGCTGCACCGCTTGTCAAGCCATGCTGTGGCTGTGTCCCACATAAAGTGGAGGAAGATGGGCACTGATGTTAGTTCAGGGCCAACCTTCCTCAGCAAAAAAAAAAAGAGGAGGATTGTCATCAGATGTTAGCTCAGGGCTGACCTTCCTCACCAAAAAAAAAAAAAATTGTCATCATTCAGCAATATCTATCACAAAAATATACCTTAATTTAGGCCAGTAGTTCTCAACTGGGGGCAGTTTTGCCTCCCAAGGGACATTTGGCAATGTCTAGAGGCATTTTTTGTTGTCATAACTAGGGTATGCTATTGGCTGGGGATGCTGCTTAATGTTCTACAGTGCACAGGACAGCCCCTCACAACAAAGAGTTACCCTGCCCCAAATGTCAATAGTGCTGAGGTTCAGAAACCCTGATTTAGGCCAAGGTAATGCTGAGCACCATGGAGTTATTTTTGGTTGTGCTTGCAAGGGGCTTCATTGAAATTTAAAAGGTAAGATGTAGATGAACTCTCTATAGCCTATTCTCTGCTAAATGCATACTCAGTTTGGGTGGCTATAGCTGTCACGTGTACCTGAGTTCAGAATATGCTCAAACATATGAAAGCTTTTTGGATTTTTCACAAGAGGTACAGGCCAGAACACAGGTGTTACTGACATGACCTCTGACAGTTTGCAAAGTAACATTCTAAAAGATAGAGGGAACCCGGGATAGGTTGGGAAGACTTATCACCTAGGCTATCTTTTTTTGTGTGTGTGTGAGGAAGATCAGCCCTGAGCTAACATCTGCCAATCCTCCTCTTTTTTTGCTGAGGAAGACTGGCCCTGGGCTAATATCTGTGCCCATCTTCCTCCACTTTATATGGGATGCTGCCACAGCATGGCTTGACAAGCGGTGCGTCGGTGTGCGCCCGGGATCCGAACCGGCGAACCCCGGGCCTCCGCAGCGGAGCGTGCACACTTAACCGCTTGCGCGGCCGGGCCGGCCCCACTTAGGCTATCTTTATTGAATTAATTAAGACAAAATATTACAGAGGGATACCTATGTCTGAAATATATTTGTTTTATTTATTAAGAAATATTTAAGTTTTTAAATGTTTAAGATTTTGTCTTATTATTGGAAAATC